TCAACATAAAGATAAATATGCTTGTTTGGTTGGAGAAGTGAGAAAAGATAAAATATTAAAACTGAAAAATACATTAACAACTCAGCGAAATAGTTTTGTGAAGCAGAAGCAGCTAAATATTTCATCACTGCGAGCAAGTTTTCAAGTTTCCAAGCCAATAGCGTGCACTGGCAGACCATTCGTGGAGGGAGAATTTGTTAAAGAATGCCTTCTTTCTGTTGCCAAAGAGATGTGTCCAGAGAAGGCCGATTTATTTAGTACAGTGAGTCTTTTAGGACCTACAATTACACGGAGGATTGAAGAAATGGGAGACAATTTGCATCAGCATTTGCAAAACTCCACAAAAAAACTTTCCTATTTTTCCTTGGCACTCGACGAAAGCAATGATGTTCGTGATTCTGCACAACTTCAAATTTTTATTCGTGCGACGAATGACTATTTCGAAGTCACAGAAGAGCTTGCTGCACTGCAAAGTATCAAAGGAACAACTACAGGAGAGGATATCTTTCGATTTAAAGCTTTCGTGACTGCAGGGATTCATCTTCTTGGTTCTTTCGGTAAAGTCACATAGAAGGGAAGTAATAAAATAATTCTCACGACGTTTCGGCCACAACGCAAGCAGCCGTCCTCAGGTGAAAACCAGGTCTGTTGGGGAGACAGCGTCTGAATGAAACAGCACACGAGCTTGGAGCATATATAAGCTGGGTTGGAAGCGGGGGAAAGAGCGCCTTGACAAAATAATTTCAATATCAAGAGGAATTTAGCATATTTATGGGCAATGCAGGAATGTGATTAGTACTACATATGCCCGTGCTGCATATGTAGTACTAATAACATTCCTGTCACCATGAGCAGCAGTCATGCACACTTGCATCACTTGTTACGACTAGCAGTGACAAATATGGAACCGGACATTGACCATCTCATTAGCCAAAAGCAGGCCCATAGTTCCCATTGAAATACTGGCAAGTTTGTTGATTTAACTTTACTTGTTCTTCATTTTAAATATTGTATTTATTCCCGTTTTGTTTCTTCACTTCAAAATAAGATATATGCAGTGTGCATAGGAATTTGTTCATAGTTTTTTTTTAACTATAGTCCGGCCCTCCAACGGTCTGAGGGACAGTGAACTGGCCCCCTGTTTAAAAAGTTTGAGGACCCCTGGTCTACAGGGTGCGGGATTCGTGAGAGCATGGCGATATCAACGTGGTGGGCTTTAAACATGACTCTGTGGTATAAATGAGGTACTGTAGTATAAGTGAGGTCCTCTCGTAATGCATGTACATTTAACTGGATCACACCCCTTGGTAATTTCCCAGTGAAATATGCTGACGTGTTGCTGGGTATGCGAGGTGATTAGGGCCCACTTATTATGGCACTCGTTTATCAGTTGCTGGTTGTAGATCACAGAATTTTTCACATGAGGTTTCGTAAGTGTGAATATGTGAATTATTTCTGCATCACTGAAATGTGCTACAATTCTTCTGTCGTATGCACCATGCATCATTTCAGGTCACACTGAATTATAGTGGCATCATTAATTGTCCAATTTAATTATCTCACGAAATAAATTAAAACTATTCCAGTCATGGGATGGCTATGTGGATGAATGGCTGCATTGCAGATGGGATTTTGAGTTTCAATATATAATTTCTCAGGCCTCGCCTTTAAATAAACGACTGAACATGATAATGCATTCATATTATAGCTTGCAGAGACAATGCTACAGAATTCGTTTCTGTTGGTATCATGCAAGGCTAGGGATAGAACCATTAAAGTACGTAGGGTCAGATTTACATCATGACAAAATGGGAAGATCACATTACGCTGATCATTTGCCCCATGGTGATGCATATATTGGTGTGTTTTCACCAACCATCTGAACATTCGCTGACACACGAGTCTGCCCCATGCAACACAACATAGACAATTTTCTCAAAGACAACTTTGTTTTGAATATCAAAATCAGTTTGGTCCTGGTTACATATTGCTCATAGCTTCAGTAGGAATCGCATTTACTCTCTTGCATACACATCCATATGCTGCTTCAGTGTTTAAATTATCCAGGTCCTCGGCTATAGTTTGAGCAGCAGATGCCTCAAGCATGCTGCTCATCATCACTTTATGCATTATCTTCCAGGAGGTGGATGCAGAGGGCAGACTGGTTCACTCATGTAGACCGTTAAGGGACAGCCGTGAAAACAAAGAACTCTTGCAGAGTAGACTAATGGAAGAAACTCTCTGTGACTCTAAATTCGGAATCTGTTTTAATAAGCTATAGCAAGGAACACATACAGTGTGACAGAGATTATTGGGGATAAATGAGGAGTTGATTACACAAGGCACAAGGTCATTGAGAGACAGAATGAGCATTGTAAGTGCCCATGTGTGCCACCTCATCAACCTCATCACCATAATCAGAAACGGGTAGGCGATGAAGGCCCGTTTTGCCAACCATAATATTCCACTGCATTGTAATAGGCCTGCAAGATTAGGCCGGTGTCACTACAGATGTACATATGTTGAACTTCTTTCACACCGTACATAGCCAAGCATGTTAATCGGAGGTGCGGGAGATGGATGAAGCAGATAGATGAATCACAAGTGCGAATTTAGCTACACAATGAAGAACCAGTTCAGAGAGAACGTCTATATAAAGCCTTGTAACTGCTGCTTATGGTGTTCCGAGGAGGAGAGATGGAACATTTGTCTATGTCAGGTGAAGTGTAATTTTATAAGCAACAGCTTTCACCTAGAGATGGGATTAAATCAGATAACTGTGGTATTGTAATTACCTAAAAGATTGATGTATAACAGCACACAAACATCACGTTATTGTGCCATATAGTCCTGGCCATGGGGTGCCCAAGGTTGGGTGAATCTTCACAACCATGAGCGACCTGAGGTTGGCAACACAATTAGGAGGTTGCCAAGAAGCGAGCGAGGGGCTGTTTGGGAGGTGCGCTGCGCTCCGGAACAAGTAGCTGTGGCTGTCCTAGTGAGAGCATCCTTCAGGCTCAAGACTGAGCGAGATAACACACAGCGTGTGGCATGTGTGTGTGTGTTCTCGTCGCGTGTAGGTTCTCCAAGTTGAGTCGGTGCCTTCTCTTCGGTAGGGGTACACTGTAAACCATTTTGTGTGCTCTGCAAGCCTTCTTTCAATTAATTTCCAAGGAAATTCATGTTTGCTTTGAAATCCTTTGTCAACTGGTCCGTGGGCATCATCAGTCACCTGCCGTACATCTCCCACCCCGCAGACAGCCTGTGACAATGTCGATCAGAAAATACAGTGAATGATTTCACACAATGCTGAAAGAGGCAATGACATGCAATTTCCTCTGGGTGCAGACCGGAATGTTTTCTTTTGAAAATATCTATCTCAAAACACTGAACATCTCAAAACAGCAAATAATACAAAATAGTGTCACGATTGAGCAAAATATTACAGTACTGCACATACATTGAATTTGGGTGCAAGGCAGCAATTTCGAGGATAAGGATAACCGTGTTCTCGACCATGTTAATCTGATTACCAGCAAGTCTCTAGGGTTTAAATAATAATTAAGATCTATTTACCGTTTGCAAGGTTATTGCAAAACTGTTTTTAAAGTCACATGTTCAATGTCTCCATTGCTGGATAATTCATTTTCAAGTGTTGCAGGAAACACGAAAGCTGTGTCAGGTCCTCCTAAGATTTACTTTTTTGTAACACATTTCCATCATGTTTTAATTAAACATGAGCGCTGGCCAAGGATAATCAAAATATTAGGTTGTTTGTTGTTGTGAAACTGGTCAGACTATTTATAGCCAGCTCCCTCTGTTGAAATAACATAAAATTACCTGACGAGTCACTCAATGTCTTGATGTGACACTTGTCTGGGGCCGAGAGTGATGTTCTCTGCCAGATTTTATCTTGGAAGCTTTTGCAGCTATTAGACAATAAGTGACATGGTGCGCTTTGAAACCATTTGGAAATGCTGAAAGTGCTCTTATTCTTTGGTTCTTTTCGGTTAAGTCACGTCTAAAAATGAAATAATAAATTAAAATAACATATTACGACGTTTCGATTTAATTTATTATTTTATTTTTAGACGTGACTTAACCGAAAAGAACCAAATAATAATTCCTGCAGTCACGAAAGCTCCTAAATTAAGAGTGCTCTTATTTGTGTGACTGCAGGTTGTATTACAACATGAGGAAGAGAGTTGCAGATTTTTTCTCTCACAACAACATATTGAAGCTGTCTTCTTATTTTTATGCTTTAGTACATTTTCTACGTAACGTAAGAAATTAGAAACGCGAAAGTGGCATTCGATCCATCTAGCTCATTCGATTGTGAATAGCAGATTGATTCTAGTGTCGCATCGAGCAATTCCTTGAAGAGTCCCGGTGAATCGGCCTCCACCGCGTGTTGTATGGGCAGCCGGTTCCGGACTTCTATCGCTCTTTGAGTAAAACGTTGCCCTCTGGCCTCTTGTGAAATGATTATCAATCATTGAGTCAATTTAAACATCCCCTCGCAATATTTTCTGAAATGTATGCATTCGAAGTATATGACAGCCTTTGCTCACGGGACAATTCTCCCATGAGCAAAGGCTTTCATATTCTGAAAATACATATCTGCACATTCTCTTCCATGTATTTGGTTGCAGATACTAAGAATAATGTACTGCATTTACCCAGGATAGCCTCAATCAATCTTAATGTTACCAGGAGGTAACATGGAAAGGCTCACAAAAATAGATTCAAGAATCCATCGCTATAGTGTCATCTCTTGGCCACTTCACAGCGCATACCTATAACACTTGGTCCTCCCTGGCAGTATCTCATCCACGTACTATCCAAGATCGAACATACTTAGCTTCTGAGATTTTACATGATCAGACACATTCAGGGTGACATGGTTGTAAGCTTTTTTTTTGCTTTTCTAAATCAATACACAAAGTGCTTAACGTGACAATGACATCTTTTCCCTTTCATTTCTGTGATTCTTGGTGCAGCATTGAAGTGCTTCTGCCACCACTGCGTCTCGGACAACTACACTTGCGTGACGGATGGTGCGTGCCTGGCATCGGCCATGCGCAGGCGGAGCCCGGTGGGGCTGACGCACATCCGCGAGTGCATCCCACGTGAGCGTCTCGTGCCACCCGACCGCCCCTTCATGTGCGTCAGCTCCTACGATCGCGAGGTGCAGGTTACCAACGTGCACTGCTGCAACACCGACTTCTGCAACATGGTCGACATCACCTTACCACCACTCGTGGGTGAGTTTCCCTCTGGTAGAATAGTTGTTTTTTAAAATATATATTATTGTTTGGAATGCATGGGACATAAATTCCAATCCAGCCTGGGCCATGCATGGTGGCATACACCTGTTAAAATTTCAGTTTGGATTTATGGAGTATCTAAATGCAACCACTTGTAAAAATGCTGTACGAAAGCATTGGTGATATGCGGAAGTCATAGGCAAAGGAGAAGAGGAATAACTTGAGTCTGGGCTATTTTTTTATTCATTTGCTGAGCACATGCCCAAAACGTGAAGCAGCCAGCAACACACAGCACCGTCCATTGTAATAGAGAAGAGTAAACACTGACTTGAACAAGCTAGGGGATCGACAGGCCATAACAGGCAGTAGAGAGTAAATGTTGACTTGGCGCTTCACCAGATCTTTGTTGCTGAGGCGGAGAGCACATGGATTAATGCATTTCTGCGAAAAAACATACTTTGGGATTTTACCAAAATATGATTCCATTTGTGGTATCGGCATTATGAACTAAATAATCCATTCTGAACTCTCGCCACATTGCAAAGTCAAATTTGATATCATAGATGTTTTTGTGCAGTCATTGGTGCCTGGGCCAAGATGGATCAACTTTTTGCACTTGGGAACTCGTTTTCCTAATGGGCAGCTGCCCCAGATCAACAAGCCCAGGACATCCGATGGGCCAGCACAGCGCTGTAGCCTCTGCCGTTACTTGGCCATCTCTCGAGTATTTCCACCCAAGCACTTAAGTAATGTGACTCTTTAAAGGTTGGGATGCTGGATTGCACAGAGGCCATCATAAATAACGATTTGAAATGCTATGATGTGGCCAGTACAGGTTGTTCAACTGTCCTTCTGGATTTTTGAGTGTTATCCACTAGAATAAATGAACATTCATGAAACTGCTAATTTTCCACGTTAAAACAAAACAAATTGACCAAATGTCACAAGGTAGAACCCCTGGAAAAAATAAAGTATATTTGATAAGGATAAACAACATAGCAGTCTTTCTAAAGACATATTTTAACTCGCTGCATGTGCAATGACAGGGTGACACCTTCCGGGAGTGGTAATTACGGTCATGGCCGCATTCCATAATGCCTTATTATAAGGGGGGTGCATCTGGGGTAAAGGTGAAAGGCGGAGTCAGTCGAGAAGCTCTGGGAACCAGCTTGAAGGTTCTGAAAAGGGGGCGTGGCCAGAGGTGGATCTTGGCCGCTCCGGGGCAGATATAAGGGGGACCGAACCAGAGGTTCGTGGCTGTTGCGGGTCCTGGCTGCGTCGCTGCTCGTCGTCATCTCTTCGTCTCCGACCACGTGGCTGTTCTTCTGGAAGACTCTCTCCGTCGCTGCGCTGTTCGAACAGCTTTTGTAGCGAAGCCGGAGATGGGGCTTCGTGTTAGGATCGCCTGTGTGTAGCTGCGTTACACAATGTATCGCCCAGTGCGCTCTTAATAAATGAGACGCCTTCTACTCGACGTGTATCGGAAGTCGCTCACTACACATGTAACCTGCTATGATATGAATCATAAACATGGATGCTGGCAAAGAAAACAGAACAAATGCTGAAAAATATGGAAATGATCATGGAGGGATGCACACCTGAAATTACACGGAGGTAAAAAGAAGAACGCATGGTTTAGAAAGCAGTTGCAAATTCGATATCTTATTGACTCAACAATTGTAAATGGGCTTTGACGGGATCATGGAATGGCAACCAAAAGAGTAAACACGCGCGAAAGGATGACCACTACAGAGATGGAGTGAAAAATCAGCGCATGCCCAGGAGCGAAATAAATTTTGGCATCACATGACCTTGAGGGATGTCAGTAGCTTGTGGGAGATTCTTATTCAGCAGTGGATAGAACATGATTGATGATATGACAAAATGAAGCTTAGCGCAGTGATTGCTGTCTTATACGAGATTATTAATGAGTAACTGCTCTCCTTTAGTTCCCAACTTTCGTGGCTTATGCTCACGTGTCTTGCCTTGGCCTTGCAGTAATTTAAAAGTAAAATTATTAAGTCAGCTTAGCACGCAGGCTTTCGCGACCAATATCATCCACATTGTGCAAGAGCACAGAAGGGGTGGTCAACACATCTACGCCTCTATATAAGGAACGAAACAGTAACACTTCTCCACAAATCTGGCTGTTGTCTGATGAAGCTAGTTGTAATTACTGGCGAAACGTCATGCTCAGTTTATAAATGTTGTGGCTTGGCTCTCCAACACACCGGTGTGCCGTACTAGTGACGAATTGGAATGTTCTATTTACGGGACAACCCTTACTCGTTGGCTGTGTCGGGTGGTGGTGGGTTTTAATGACACATTTATATATTTACGGGATCTAATCCAAAAACCTCTATTATGATAACATTATTAGTGCTGTCGGTTTTTATACTCCACGTAAATTTGAATTTACGGGGATTATAGTGATGTGCCAGCATATTTTAACTGCCATTTGCGTATGTAAATGAGCTGGTATACACCAAGAGTGTAGGGTTAAATTACCATGGGAGAGGAACCTTGCTTTTCGTAGTAATTAAAATAATGACCCCTTGCCTGTTAATTGCACACTTATTCAAACCGCTGTCAGAGTATTATTTTTTCTGCCATTGGGTTTGAATCCAGTTTTTGTAACAATTCTTTATTTTTCAGGGGCTTATTAATTTTGAGTTACTGAACAATTACACCAACGGAGCATCCAACAATTGGGTTCATGGGAAGGTTTAAAAAAACATGACCAGGTCACTGTAAATGGCAATCGTGGGTGAGTATCGCTCGTCATAGAGATCACATTAAAATTCAACCACACCATTCATTAACATGCAGAGGCACTAATAATTATGATCGTAAGTAATTGCAAGGTACATTGAGCCTACATGGGAAGACTAATCTGAAGCATATAACTTAGACATGGACAACCTTATTAAGATGTATGCTTTGTACTCAATTGGTTTTGTCATAATTGGGGAGCCATCAATGTCTTGTGCATGTTGAGTGCCTACCAGCAGTGTGTCCTAGGGATTGAACAAGATACTCATTTGAAGCCTTCACCAGTAATGTAAACGGGGAAGGACTTTTAATTCTGAGCTCTGTTGCGTATGAGAAGGAGCATGCAATTCCTGAAAATGTATTGCCTTAGTTATTTTGAATAATTAGTAGATGAACGTAATGTGAATGATGTTGAAATCATGTGTACTAGCTTTGCTCACGTCACTACCTGCCTGGGTGTCTTGTCATTATTTTTTGTTATCAATAACACCGCTTTAAAAGGAAAAATATATAACAGGTGACATTTTGGAAATGGCCCATTTTTAGAGCACATTAGGTTGATGATGTGACACTCACCAGACATCTGCTCTCTGACACTCACTTCACCACTCACCATTCACATGAACTTCACCAGAAACCACTCACTTACTGGATACTAGCATAGTTATAGGAATAATTTACAGCCCTGTCAATCCACTGATGGATTAGTTAAGGCCTCCCCATGACATTATGCTGGTCAGTTTGGGTTGGTGAAGTCGGCGGGGGGCGAGGGGGCTATGACTTGATCAGATATTATTCGTGACTGATGTTAGCTGTGGCTGGCAATCACACTTCAGGTTGATCGTGCAATGCACAAATCGCTCACACCTGTCTTATTTTACTGTTTACAGATTCTGCATGGACTCGCCCCTGCTTATCTTCTCTTATAATGTATGCCTACACCCCTGCCTGAGTCCCATTGCTTCTCTGGCCTAGAGTTGCTCACTACACCCAGAATAAAATGGCAGTCTGTGGGGTGGACGGTCATTTACATTTGTAGCTCCCAGGGTCTGGAATACATTTGCACTGTATATTCTGCAAGATCAATTTCGTCCACCTCGGCTGTTCTTGATGAATACATCCTGCATTGTGGGTCTTCATTTGGTTTAACGGGTCGAAGTTAATTGCCGCTATCTGACATATGACCACGCCCCTATAAGGTATCTTGGTTTGTGCGAGGTGATGGGAGTGTATTCTGGGGTGTTGGTCAGTGGACGATGCTCTTGATGAGTGCAAGGAGCTGAAATTTCGACTTGGTTAATACTGTAAACATCTGTTTGTGAAGTTTTTAGACAGTCACCTTGCTTATTGCATGTAATCTTGTTCCCAAGTTCTAATCCAATGGCTTTAGCCCCTGCTTTGATGTGAATGTGGCAGTTATTGTATAGCATTTTGAGATGCAATTGTATAAATGACGCAATAGAAATTTGTTTTTTTTAATATACATAATACGTTTTCTTAAACTACTACTAAAAATGCGAACTTGTCCCAAGATGCTGGACTATGTATAATTAAATTTCGATTTAAAGCTTTCATGACTGCAGGGATTCATCTTCTTGGTTCTTTTGGTAAAGTCACGTAGAAGGGAAGTAATAAAATAAAAATATTATATTATTATATTATTTTATTATGTTTTATTTTTATTATTTTATTACTTCCCTTCTACGTGACTTTACCGAAAGAACCAAGAATATGTATAATTACTCAGTTCAAGATGAATACTAACGGTGATGGGAACCTCATTATATTATGCTCTTACCTATGTAACTCCTTACCACACTGGGTAAGCTCTGCTGATTCATTGTGCATTTTTAAATCACGCCTGCTGTCTTAGCTGTTCAATAAGGCGTATACTAACACTTTGAATTCATCAGCAATGAGACGTGTGTTTGTCGATTTGGTCTCCCTATGTCTCATTTTATAATCACAATATATTTCACCTGGTTTTGTTAAATGCTTTGCGAGGGTCTTTTTCCTGAAAGATGCCTTATAAATGCTTTGTTATTTTATGGTTGTGGTCTCAGTAAAGAGCAGCCAACTCTTGAAAGTGAATATCAACCTGGTAAATATTAATGCACTGATAAATTTGCTTTCATATGGTCTTCATTTTGTTTCTCATCTACATTGCAGACACACTTGCCTTGGCATACACATGAGAAAAACATGTTTTTATGCTTCTTGGAAAA